GTATATGGAAACGGTGCAATATGTGTGTGTGTGTGTGTGTGTGTGGACTGCACCGACGGTTGCGCTCTAGTGATTGAAATTGCACGGTATATGTACCGATGGGGGTGAAGAGACGCCGACTCGTACACGGCTCGGTTCGCAAAAATGTTTCTATTAGACGTTCGTTCGTTTGTTTCATTGTAAAAGATTTTTTGTTTACTTTGTTGAGTAAATGACTGATTGCATGGGCACGGGGTAACATACAGGTGGTGGAATTTCATTGCCGTGAAAAAACTTTTGTAATACTCGATGGACCATATTTTGAAGCGTCGCAGGTATCGATTCGATTGTAGCTTTTTTTCCAACCTTAATTCCGTTGGTATCCTTGAAACAAGCGATAATCAAGAAAGATCAAGGAGTATAATATTAATGTCGGAAACAACGTCCAACGCTGGAAAGTCCTTGCAGCTGACGCAAGCTCGGGCGTCGGCATAAAAATGTACATTCAAATTTGAATTTATAATTCAATAACAGCATTTTCGTCCTGAATGTATAATACTTATGGTTATCATCGTTTTCTCCAAATTTACAAATTTTTAATGTTTTGCTAGTCTTTTATCACTACCGCGAGTTCTGTCGTTGTAAATGGAAGTTATTGTTTTGTTCTTTTTTTCTTCAAAACACATACCTGTACTCAAATGAACGTAATTTTTTACTGAAAAACTATGGACGATCGATAAAAGTATCATTGCAAGGAGTGCAAATTTCGGTGTAATGACTCATGTACCCACACACGTTACAGAATTCGGGTAAACTTACAGAAGGGAATGGCCATCCCATATTCCCATCCATACATATACATAGGTACGTATATCTGTCGGTGACGTATGTAAGCAGTCGGTTAGCCCGCGGGCATAGCTAAGCTTGTCCGGATGATGATATGGGTAACGAGACGCGCGCAAAGGAGATTCAAGACATAGTAATACATTCTCTCTCTCTCTCTCTCTCTCTTTGTGTATATAATTATATGCGTAAGTATATGACAGTAGGAGAGGTATATACTACTGAATCCCATGGGCTGGTCGAGGCATGTAACATGCACACCTGTGCCCGATGCCACTATCAGCGGGCTATGATTACAAAGTAACGTATTGCAGCGGTATACAACACATTATTGCTACCAATAACAACTAACAAAAAATTATTTTTCCGCCCTCGGGTGGTTTTGGAAGGCTGGTACTTCCTCGGGCGAAAAAGCAGTTTTCCGGAACTCGTTCGAAAAGTCTCCTTTACGAACCTCGTTACGGACCTCGCCTTAGGCTCGGGCCGCAAACCTCTCGGTTCGCAAACAGAGACTTTTCAAACTCGTAGGAAAACTACTATTCTTTTGTCTACTAATCGTACTTTGGCAAAATATTCTATAGGATCTATCGTCGCCATAGAAAAGCGTTGATTGTTTAAAATTGAATTTGCGCACAGCTGTTAAATTGCAACCAAGCACTATTCGTACATATACTTTATCGAAAGGATAGTTCGATACGAAATCGAAGGTAGAAAAAAAAAGAAAATAAATGTACGTCGATAGGCAAGCGAAGTGACGCGGGTATCAAAGTGAAACTGCGTACTCGATGTATTGTGTATGCCTATACGTATATGGGTATCCAAAGCAGGTAACGACGTCGAAGACCCTCAAATCCTTCTATTTCCACGAAAGTCACGCTCTCGTAGCCACGACCCAATCATATTGTGGATTTGGCAGCGTACCGATCTTTTCCGCCTCCTCTTCTTCTCTCAAGGACTATTCATACCATGTACCGGTTCGTACACGTGCATATATACATGTACATGATACATCTATGAGGTTTTATAACGCGCGCGTTCTCCCCTTACGAGCTTTATTAACTTTGTGACATTTTTCTCCACGCCTAGGATGTAAAAAAATGGAAATAAATATGCTGTACTTTTTTCTGCTATAGAAGAATCGTGTGCACGTGTATTGCATAGGGAGTTTGGTTTTGTGATTGGATTGAAAAATAAAAATTTTGATTCGAAAAAGAAAAACAATTTTGTGAAACAGATAGATTTCTTTTTTTTTTAATATTTAACAAGCAATGTCGAGATTTTCTCGTTTCAACCACGTAATTCGAGGACTGACAAAAAAAATCTTTTTATTTATTTATTTATTTATTATTATAATTTTTTTTTTTTCTATAAATTGAATCTTAGAAAACAGATAAAAAAATGTTGTCAATCAAAATAATGTACTCTGTGTAGTGATAACGATTATATTGTTGACAGCTTGAAATTTTCCTAAAAATGGATCCTCTTAAAAGGAGGAAGTAAAAAAAAAAAAAAAGGCTTCGCTACACGAACAATGTAGGAAGAGTATATTATATCCGAAATGTGTGTAATATATATTCAGAAGACCCTGACCACGAAGAGCCATAAAGTTGAATGGGAATAAAAACACGTAGATGCCGTACTCTTGCAAACCTGGCCATATATAAATACCGATAAAATCTAAAATTGAAGTGAAAAGTTTGCCGGAGCCGTAAAAGCGAGCTGTTATAATAGTATATAAACTTATTATGTATGCTAGGAGAAGAGCAAGTACGTACACCTTCCCATCGTATATGGAGAGAAACTCAAAGTATAAGCTCGATCGGACCGAAAAAAAAAAAAAAAAAAAAAAATAGGAGAGAGGGTAAAAAAGGAAGCGCTTCTTGTATCCGACGAAAAAGCTATAACCATTGTCGTAAAATAAAACATAGACTCCGAGATGTGTATATGTATTGTACACAGTCAGTCCAAGCGCGTGCGGGGCTAAGAGCTCGGAAAGACGTGTCTTAAATTCGAAAATAAAGGAGTTTCGGGACATTTATAACGGAGAGGAGACCACTACCGCAAATGGCCCGTGGGTACGGGCGCGGAGGGACCATTTTGCAAGGTAAGCCGCCGAAGAAACGTTAACGAGAATAAAAGGCTGGGGGTGTTACACCTATACTTCGAGAAACCAGATATACGAAATACACGCGTTATAGCCCAGACAGTGTATAACTCAGTGGGTGTGTGCTTCATGTATGTAAAAAAGCTCTCTGTCTCTCTCTAGCCCTGCAAGCCGTGGCTTCTTTTATATTTCAAGCACTGATGGGCTGCGTCGGATTCCGAGGGATTCTCGCGCGTGCCATTTCGGGACGTTCGTATGAACACATTATACGATAGACTCTTGCACATGTATAGGTACGTGCAAATGTGCGGCGTGTATGTACGTGTAATATTATGTGCTTACATTTAGAGGTATAACGAAAATAGAGGAGATGGATACGCGTGTGTGAGCGTGTACTTACTTACGCTTTTCGTGCAGAGAGAGGAGACAATGAGCCAAAAGAAGAAGCTTGAATAATGCCCGCACTGCGCGAAAGAAGGGGGTGGATGACGTACGTTCAACTTTCCTCGAATATATATATATGCGTGCTTTATGAATATTGGCTTCGCTCCAAAAGTAAAGTAGTTTTGGTAAGACTCGATCACTGTTGCTGACGCTTTTTCAACTTTGCTGTGGATCCTCGGGTGAGATGGCGTATACTATATTTTCAATCCAACTCCGTGATGGCTTTGGTTCGTTTTTAAATAAGTTTATCATCGAAACAACAATTTAAACGATTTACCGATGAATCATTGAAACGTCAAAATTTTTTATTTCCATCTCGATTCATACGACTTAATGATTAACAAAAAAAAAAAAAAAAAATGA